CAGAAATAACATCATATGAAAGGTCCCCCCAAAATCTATTAGCCACTCCCTAAATCCCTTAATTTCTTTATAAAACGTATCAGGTAGTACACCACTGTAATTTTATTATTTTTTTTATTTTTTATTTTTTTTTGGTTTTTCTCTGGTACCGGGAACCGAACTCACGACCTTGTGCTTGCCAGGCAGGCGCTTTGCCGCTGAGCTAAATCCCCAGCCCCCCCACTGTAATTTTAGCAGTTTAGGATTCTATACCCATCTGTTCAGTCTATTCACATCATTTAAGGTGCCTAACACATGCCAGGCAATCTCTTCTACTACACTGAGTCATCTCCTGTCTATAAACTCAAAAAACAGGATTGCTAAATCCTGCTGATTTACAATAAATGGCAACATTGGTTTCCATTTCTAACTTAACTGAATAAATTATTCTGGATAGTTTTCTTGCTTTTGTTTTTGTAGGCATGTACTCTAATATTAGGCCAGAGCAAGTCAGAATCAATCCTGAAGAAACACCCAACTCCACATATCTACAGAGCCAGCAAAAAACAGGCAGATGTTGTCTATAATACTGGCAAAAAGTTGCAAAATTTGCAGTATGTGAGAAGGAATTTGATTGCTTTTGCTGGCTGTTTGTCTTCAATGACCCTAACAGTGTTCAGCATGCGGCATATACCTAAAATAAACATCTGTTGAATGAATGAGTGGATGAGCAAAGGAACTACTGTGGAGACAGATGATGCATTCTAGGAAATAGTAAAGCAAGAACGCTGGGAGGAAGAGGCAGTAAAAAGTGATGAAGAGAAAACAGTCATATTAACACCAGTCAAAGCCCAGTTAGCCTTGTTTTTTGTATGGTTCAAGGAAATGAAGTGAAAAAGTAACAGCATAAAATCAACCCTTCTTGCAACCCTGCATAATTTTGGATCTATTACTTAAAAAGTGAAGAACTAAATAAAAATGCTAACATTTAAATTGTGATTTGTCTCTGAAGAAAAGCAGGCAAAACCATACTCACATGGGTATGGACAGCCTTCTCCTTCTGGGGTCACAAACAAGCAGGAACAGCAGCAGCCATTGCCCCCCAACAAACTACTAAGTAGCTTTCCTCACAAGGAAGAAGGATCTCTTTTTTGTCTTCTCCCTGTCTCCTTCTACAGTATCTATAAATACAGTGTTCTGACACACAGAAAAAAATAGAGGTTGGACATGTTTTGATATGGAAGCTGTTAGGTAAAAAATGTATATCTGTATCCAAAGAGATGAAAAAATTTAATAGCTGGTCTTTGTTTTTTAGTGGTGTTAGGGACTGAACCCAGGGTCTCATACATGGTAGGCAAACACGACCACTGAGCTACATCTCTAGCCCTGTTCTTGTTTTTCCAGCTCTGAAGATTGAATCCAGGGCCTCTGCACTCTGCTACAGCACCCCACTCCTTTTTGAGACAAGGTCTTGCTAAGTTTGTAAACTATCTATGCTGGGCTCTAAGTTGTTATCCTCCTTCCTCAACCTCCCAAAACGCTGAAATTATATGCATGCACCACCACATTGGCTCCAGCCCTGTTCTTAATTGTCCATATGTACAATGTTTATATTATATCAGATATTACTTTTGTTGGAAAGGAAGACAACAAAATAAGATCCATACTACCTTGAAGGAGACTGTGACCCCCTTGTTTTCTACATAGCTAAGAATAATTCACATATAAGGCAAAAGGAAGACTTTAGTTATATATAGTCATATTTTAAATTTCATTATGCTTATGTGAAATAGTATGATGACAAAAATGTCAAATGATGTCAATTTACAAGGTTTTCAAAAAATTGAGTATTCTTATTTAGAAAACTTACATCAACGCTACATAAAAATAGTGCAACTTCAGGTAAATAGAAATATTTACTATTGTTTATAAAATTTAAACAATACTATTGTGTTTGTACACTGGATTAAGTGATCCACATGATTAATTAGTATGCTATTTTAACATTCAAAATTATGATTAATTTTTTTTTATCTTGTAACTGTAATCTTGTCTTTTATTAAGTGGTTGTGCTTATAGTAAAGCTGAAAATAAGTGAGATGTGGCACTTTGATTTAGGAAAGAACATTGTAAAACAGAGATAACAGAAGTTGACACATTTTGGATGTCAGGCTCTTCTAAATGACGTACATACATGCATTACTTCTTTTAATACCTAGCTTATAACAGTCCTATGCGAAAGATATTATTATTCTCAGTTAATAAATGAGAAATTTGAGGTTAAAAGAGATGAGGTTACTTGTTCAGGACCACATAGTTAGTAAATAGTAGAATGTAGATTTGAACACAGGCTAACACCAGAGACTTCCCTGTAACAACCATCCTCTACTGTATTTCTAATGCTGAGAATATGAAAAGCAACATAAAGAAAAAATAATGAATAAGGATTTATGAGCTTCAAAAGCATATGTTCTACCCATATACTTATGGGAAAATAAATCCTGGATTACATATATTAAATGAAAAATAATATTCCAGCAAAGAGAATTATTAAAACAAAGATTTTTAGAGGTTTTAAAGACCAGAATCGTTGTTAAAAAGAATTTAAATACACTATTGTGTCTAAATATGTGATTTCAAGATAAAAGGAAAATAAAAATTCTTAAAAGAGAAATTCAACAATGTAAAAACAGTAATCTGAAAATAATACTAACTACCTAGAAAATTCCAGATTATACCAACAAAACTAGGAAATAAGAAATGTTGAAAGAAAGTCATACAGACAAGGGAATGAAATAGAAGATACTATTTATAGTTGATCTAAAATTAATACAACAAAATGTAAACAATGCATTTCTTTCAAATTGCATAAGAAAAAAGTTTCAAAAATTTAAAGTCGGAGGCTAGGGGTATACAGTAGCACAGAGTTACAGGCTGTGCATAGTCTGAGGCCCTGGGTTCAATTGCTAGCACCGCAGAAAAAATATTTAAAGTTAGAAATCAAAGAGAATTTAGAAACCAAAGAAACATACCAGGTGTGGTGGTGCACGCCTATAAACCCAGCACTTGGGAGGCTTAGCCAGGAGGATCACTGCAAGTTTGAAGCCAGTCTGGGCTACATAGAGATTTCAAAACCAGCCTGGATTATATAGCAAGACCCTGTTTCAAAAAAACTAACAAAGAACTCGGCCGAAAATATTTTTAAAACATTATATATTACCACTTATATGGTTAATGTATTTAATAAAACTTACCCATTAAAAAGTCCCTGTGTACAACTGACATAATATATTTAGAAAGTTAAAGATTTAGTGCAGGGTGAGAGATATAGGTCTAATTTCATCCTTATGCACACAGATAACCAGTTTTTTCTGTACTATTTGTTAAAGAGGCTATCTTTTCTCCTAGCATTTTTTAGAACCTTTGTCAAAGATCAGATGGCTGAAGATGCATGGGGGTTTGTCTCTGTATCTTCTATTCCATTGTCCTACATGTCTATGTTTGTGCCAGTACCATGCTGTTTTTTCTAAATATTTTTTTAGAAGTTCTTACTCTATTTTGTATTTTGGTTCTTTCAGATAGTATCTCACTGTGTAGTTCAGGCTGGCCCTGAACTCCTTGTATATCCCAGACTGGCCTCAAACTCGTGACAGTCCTCCTGCCCTACCCTCACAGGTATGTACCACCATGCCCATCTCCACACTATTCTCATTACTACAACTTATTACATAGTATAACTCAAAATCTAGAATCATCATGCCTCTTATTTCAGTTTTTCTCTCATTTCAGTTTTTCTCAGAAAACTGAAAATAGCAATCCACTTGACCCTGCTGCACTTCTCCTTTGTACCTTCCTAGAAGAGTTAAAGACATCATACTAGTAATATATGCATAGCCATGTTTACAGCAATGAAACTTTGCTAAACTACAGTAACAGCCTAGATGGCCATCAAGAGAAGAATAGAGAAAGAAAACATGGTATACATAATGCAGTATTGTTCAACCATAAAGAAGAATTCAAGTCATAGGAAAATGGATGAATCTTGAGATCAAAATGTCAAGTGAAATAAGTCAGACACAAAAGTATCATATGGTTTCTCTCAAATGAGAAACCCAAAATATAAATAAAGAGTAAAATAATGGAGAGATGGTAGGAAACATGGAGGTAGGTTTTTTGAACATGGGGAAGTGGATCAGAGAGAGGAAGAAGAGGAGAGGATGAAAGGATAAAAATAATTATAATATCTATGTATCAATTCCCCAAAAGGAATGTAATAATTACATTATATGCAAACATATAACAATAAAAATTTTAAAACAGGAAGTTTATAAAGAAAAGTTAAAGACAAAAAGAAAATAGAGGTTACATAAAAGTAAAACCCAAGAAGTAACATCACATAATAATTATTTTTACAATCCACAATACAACTCATACAGTTTTATGTAATAATAGTGCTAACATAAACTAAAAGGTTTAAAATGCAAAAGAAATGGATATAGGTACAGAAGTACAGGGAAGCTTCTTTATACATGAAACTACAGATAAAAATATAAATCTAAATAAAGACTTGTCTGATCTCAAATAATATATGCCTTACCCAAGATGAGAATTTAGACTTAAAAGAAGTCAGATGATTTTAAAATATATACATTTTAAAATGTCCTTTTGTACAGTTATATGAAGAATGGAAGAATGAAAATAGGAAGACAGTGTTAATGAACTGCAATCTGAATTCCACTGCCCAGAGTAGCCTAACAATTAAATGCACGTCTAAGAAAAGTTACCTTAACAAGGTTGGTTCCCGTGTGGATATACCCTATTCTACATTTTTATAACACTTTAGTCTTTATCAAGTGCTTTCACCTTCATATTACTTTCAAGGCTAAAACAAATGGGAAGGGATAATGACATTGATATGAAAACAAAACTGAAAGTCCTGGAAGCAAAGAAAGGAATATGGGGCAAGGAGGGAAATTCCTATTGCTGGTTGTTGGTATATAAAATGCTCTTCACATATCAACTAAGAATTTCCTTTCAGGTTCACCATTTCTCCTCCCTCCAAGAAGGGTATCCAAGCCTAATCAGGAGCAGCAGCAGCAATAAAGAAATATGAATTTGAAAGGCAAGGCTATAATCTTCGCTGTGATATTCTCTGCTACAGTTATTCAAGGTATATTGTACTTTTTACTTCTCAGTCTACAAATTCCTTCTGTAGTATTCCAGATGTCTTTTCTTCCACTTTTATCCTAAAATATATGGAAATTTTTCATTTAACTTCCCACATTAGAAGTTTCAGCTTTGACAGAAACTGTAGGAAATCTTTAAATAAAACACTAGAGGTAATTACTAAAACCAGAGATGATAAACTTCAAATTTTGATTTGGATACAAAATCTAGCAAGAGATTTATCAACAGTTTCAAATGTCTGTTAAGAAGACCTTTTTAGGCGATTATATAAACTTCCTAGAAAAATTTTTAAGCATGAAAGAGGCAAAACAAAAAATCAGAACAAAAACCCAGGCAAGCGGCAAACAGCTTCATATCTAATAAATGACATTCATGTTTCCTATGATTTTGTAATTAAGGCTTTACAAATTTAAGGAGAAAATCACCAACATATAACAACTCCTTTGTCAGAAACATGAGTATCAAGTACTACTTTTTGACAAATTACTATTTTTATCCTTAACGCAAACTCATCTCACATTATTCACCAGGATAATAAAGCATAGCCATCTGTTCCTATCAGATGTATTACTAATCAATGTTATGATCTGTTGTTCTAGGATTCCCTATGTTTAAAGGGGGTCGATGTCTATGTATTGGTCCTGGACTGAAAGCTGTAAAAGTGGCAGATATTGAGAAAGCGTCCATAATTTACCCAAGTAACAGCTGTGACAAAATCGAAGTTATGTAAGTAGTAGACTTGCTGAATATGACAATCGTGGAAACTTTTTGTTTGTTCTGTTCATGTTTTCCATCCAAAACTTAAGATTCATTTTTTTATCTTAACAGTATTACCCTGAAAGCACATAAAGGACAACGATGCCTGAATCCAAGATCAAAACAAGCAAGCCTTATAATCAAGGTAGGTTGCCCAATTACTTCTATGTTATAACGTGTTTTACCCAGATCTTTTGAAAAAAAAAAAAAGGCAACTGCGGAAATAGTCTGCTACGATTCTGTATGACATATTCAGACCTTGGTTATGATAGCATCCTTTTCCTACTATATGTTTTTATATATCAACTCTTAATTACTGAGGAAAAAAGAACAATTGTCCAATAAATAAAATTCTCATTTTTCTCATTACAGCTAGTTGAAAGAAAGAATTCTTCAAAACACTGAAACATATGAAGTCCTGGAAAAGATGATTTGAAAACCTACAACAATTTAACTGGGACTGCTGAAATGATAAGAATTCTGCAATAGAAAATGACTCTCTCTTGCCTATTATAATATACATTTGTGATTTCTAGGTTACAGAACCTTTCAGGAGATTAATACTTGTAACTGTTTCACTGTGACTATGAAAAAACTTCTGTTTCTAAAAGTAATGTCTGTTCTTGAGCTATATTCCTTATTATCTGTAGTTACAAAGGTGACATTAACACTGTTAATGGAGTCATTCTTATGAACCAAAGCATGCATGTGTAGTAAAACATTCCTCAAATAATTTTTCATGAAAATAGTTTCCCAACTTAATATAACATATAAGTACTTATGTATTATCATGTCTTAGACTAATTCATGAAATATACTGTGAAAAAAACGTACTATGAAAAAACTATAAGCTATCAGAAATAGGTAAGAGCATAAATATTTTATAATTTGCATTAGCACTGATCTTTTGATTTTTTTCAACCTTTTTTCCCTTGAGATATTTTAAAGCAATTAGGATATGTGTTTACTGTGCATTTTTGCTTTATCTATTCTTATAAATGACAGTATCTTATATACATTTTAAATATAAAATGTTGAATAGTAAATGCATACCTGGTGATAATCTTTATTTTCTGGTTATTTTTTTACAAAAATATATAATCAATTTCTTTGATTTTTTAGTTAGTATGTCTACAATGCATAACGAGTACATTCATCATGGTGAGTTGGTACATGTACACATTGCATCTTAATCCTTTCATTTCCCCTTTCTCTCTCCTCACTCCCCTCTCCATCCATTCCTAGATCTCCTTGCCATCTGTAAAAGGTCTACCTCTTTGTTTCCTATAGTCTATCTCTTACTGTGATCTTTAAGTTATGCTTAACACTATAAAATTTAGCAATATATAAAACTGGCTTTCTTTGAAAAGAAATTAAAACAGCTTTCCCTAGCAAGCTGCCACAACTCTTAAAACAGAAACAACCAAATGCTTTCTAGAACATTTGAAATACTTTTAACACTCTTACCTTATAGTTCAGAAGCTCACAGGTACTTGTCACCATTCAGAACTGTTTTACTTGAGCAGATAGTTGTGAAGGACACGTAATTCCTTTTACTTGGAGGGGAAGAATCTTCTATTGCAAATACCTTTCTTACTTGGAGAAAATCCCTTATTATGTGAACCATGGCCTAAGGAGGAGATCCCAGCAGCCAGAAAAAGGACTCAGCCAAGCTGATCCTACCTCTTACTTTTCTTGTTGCTGAGACAAAATACCTGACACCCAAAGTTAAAGCAGGAAAGGTTTATTGTAGCTCAGTTTGTAGAAATTTCAGTTCAAAGTTGGCTGGCTCTTTTTTCCTTAAGCTATCAAGGAAGGATGGCATAGAAGATGGGCATCACAAAAGAGAAACAGTTCATTGGTGGGGAGAAGGCAGCAAAGCAGAAGGTAGCAAGCAGTGAAGTAGCAAAGCAGCAAGCAATGACAGCAGTCCTCTTTTTGTCCCTTATATTCTATACAGGCTACATGCTCTTAGGGTAGGTAGCACTCACACATAGGGTGAGCCTTCCCATTTTCCACATCCAGAACTATGCAAAACCAATCAGTGGACTAATTTAGTAATCACACACACCCTCAAACACAGCATTATACACTTAATCCCAGCACCACACACCCTAGCTCCATCCACTTCCGGAAAGTCCCACCACATGAGGCTTTGGGACGGTCATCTAGACACAAGACATAACACTATCCTAGACTTGGATTCTAGCTAGCACACAAAGATGCTACAAGCAAGAAAATTAGTTAAAGCAGTAGCACCAGCAGTCTTATATTAATGTCTTTCTAACACCTATTTGGTAGCAATGACTTTGACTACTCCTTCCCGACACCTTGCTTTCTTAGATCCCTGTCTTTTATGCAAGTCTGTTTCTCGAATCTTTCTGTGGATTCTTCAACTACTGTACCAATGAAGTTCCTTTTTTCCTTAAGCTATCAAGAGCTGGTTTCTCTGAATGTACAGTAATTAAAAAAACCTTCTTGCTGATATAGCACTCTTTATGGCATGTCAAAGCTGCAATCCACAACCACTTGCCTTTTTTTAATGTTATGCTAACAAATGTAAAAAAGGAAGCTTTGTTATATGTATACATTAACCATATTGTATATTTTATATGAGGCCTAAGACAATTCTTGTTCACTCAGTGTACCCAGGCAAGCCAAAAGTTTGGACAGATCTATTAGTCATGTCTACATTTGAAAAATGAAAATATATGTTACAGAATTATAAGCAGATATATCTCTATATATGAAGACAATAAATCCATATTATATAAATTTCCTGGACAGTTTTAAGAGCTGAGTCTATGCCTATTTACAGTGATTTTTGAAAATTATCTTCAAAAAATAAAATCTCACTGAGTCAATGCTGTATGTACATTCAGTATTTTTAAAAAATAGACTATGTATTATAAATCAGTACATTATTATTGAGAAAGTGACATATGTCTTCATTGAAAAATAAATACACAAAAGCATAGCACACTTGAGCCAAGGTTCCTTCCACTTCAGTACCTTCAGACTATTCTCTCTGCCCATTTCTTCACTAAGCTAATGCCTACTCATCATTAGGTCTCAAATACATGGCATTTTCTCCAGGAAGCCTAAGAAGCACCCTTTCAACATCAACTAGATTAGGTATCCTATTTGTTTTCATAATATCCTCTGCTTTTTCATTATACTATTGCAGATGTAACTATAAAGAATTTTCCTGTGTGTAGTACCTGCCCTTCCATAAATATAAGCTCTGAACGAAAGACACTGTGGTCCTACCCCACAGTACAATGCCTCACACATATCAGTGTGTGAAAGTAATGGTAATACTCAGTTGTCCCTTGCTCTACTGTGGTTCACTTATTGTGGCTTCACTGTATCACAGTTTTTTTAAAAAATATATATATATAATTCTGTATTGTGGAGTTTTTGCTATATTGTGGGATTCTGTGGTATACAAGAATTTATATAATATTTATGGTTTTAAATATTTTGCCTAAAAATTTAAAATATAAAAAAGTTAATTCAAACATATTAAAAGAATATAAATTGAAATAAAATACAGTATGTATTTCATCAGCGGATGAATACCATACTATACACAATGGAAATGCAGTACACTGCTACTACTTGTGCAAGTTTGCCAATGTGAGATTGTACATGGCACACTATTGGCTGATGGAATGGGTGGCAACCAACCACAGCACTGTGTTCTGTATCCTGGGCATTGATTGGCTCGGTAACCATAGCATCAGTCTTTTGCTCTCCCGCATTGTGCCATAAAATATATATAAATAATACAATAAATATAACACTGCTACTTTGCAGATTTTCACCTGTTGCGGGAGTCTCTGGAACATAACTCCTGTGACAGATGAGGAATCACCTGTAGAAAGTAAGGGGAAAGTAAGGGGAAAGTATGGGGAATGGGAATGGAAAGGGGAAAGGAATTTAGAGCCCAGGAATGGCATGAAGGGACACAAAGTGGTAAAATAAACAAAGCAACAAGGTAATTTTCAGGATGCTAATTAAGTTCAGTAAAACAAACAAACAAAACAACAAGGTAATTTTCAGGATGATAATTAAGTTCACTTGGTTGAAATGAAGGATAAAGGACATCAAATGTTTAGCTAAACAACCTTAAATTTTACTCTGTACAAAACAAAATTCATTAAACATTCATCAATAAGTGAGTAACTGTATGCAAGTTATCCCAAATTGTCCCAGGAACAGAACAGGAGATCAACTGTAGTGTGAAAGACTAAGGAAGGGAAAATTAGGATTATGTTGCAAAAGCCCAGGTCTTTATTTTATTTTATTTATTCATTTGTTTATTTAATTTGTTTTTTTTAGACAGGGTTTCACTATGCAGTTCAATCTGGCCTTGAACTCACTTTGTAGCCCAAGCTGGCCTCAAACTCACAGTGATTTTGCTGCCTCAGCCTCCAAAGTACTGAGATTATAGGCATGCACCATCACATTTGGCCTCAGGGCTTTATTTTAAGTCATTCTCATATCACTTTTCCAATTTTTTACTGTATTTATTCAGTCCTCAATATTTTTGTATGATGTGTATCACTCAATTTCACTTACATTTACATGAAAAGCCAACTTATACTACTGTATGTGGAAGCAATATTACATGCTATAGAAATAAAATGTAACGATAAAATGAAATACAAGGAAAAATACTAAATTCCAGCTAGATAAAACTGTATGCCAAAGGTTCTGAGCTTCAAGTCTGCTCTGTATTTGTTATTAGGGAGATGAACACAGTTTGCTTAGTATCTGAGAGCCATGCTAATAACAAATTGAGACTCCCAGGTTTAATCAGAGGGACTGAAATTAAGAAGAGCAATTCAGCTGGGCATGGTGGTGCATGCCTGTAATCCCAGCACTCAGAAGCCTGGGGCAGGAGGATCATTGCGAGTTTGAGACCAGCCTGGGTTACAAAGTGAGCTCAAGGCCAGCTTGAACTGCATAGAGAGACCCTGTCTCAAAAAGACCAAAAAAAAAGAAGAGCAATTCACTGATATTAAATGTCATTACAGTGAACCATCTGGCATCGTCCCATACTTTCAGAAATATTTGTGTGAAGAATAATAAGGACTATGTCTACAATAAATTAAACAGAATTACTATATGACACATTAATTCTACTCTAACAAGAACTCTATATAAAAGAACTCTATATAAAAGAACTCTAACAACTTTTCAAACTAAAACTTGCATACAAATGTTCACAGCAACACCAAAAGGCAGAAACAGCCTAAACAGGTATCAATAGATGAATGGATAAACAAAATATGATGTATACACACAACAGAATATTATTCAACCATAAAAGGAAGTACTAACAATTGCTACAATATAGATGAACCTTGAAAACATTACAGTAAATAAAAAAATACAGATACAAAAAACCATCTAAGATATGATATAATTTCATATGAAATATCTAGAATAGGAAAATCCTTAAAAATAGAAAATAGATGTGATTGGCAAGGACTCAAAGGAAGGTTTAATGGTGAATAACTACTTAATGGGAATAAGCTTTCTGTTTGAGAAAAAAAGTGTTCTGGTGATAGTTGTACAACATTGTGAATGTACTTAATGCTACCAAGTCATATACTTTTAAATGACTAAAATGTTAAATTTTGTGTTAGATATGTTTTATCACAATAAGTACAAGGGATAAACTAAGGTGGTAATGTTGAAAATAAAAATAAAATGAGAAATAAATTGTAGATTTCATGATAGATTGGATGTGAAGGTTGAAGTTGAAGAAACCAGTCAAGGGAAATGCCAAGGATTTGAATCTGGAGTAAAAGCAGACACAGGAATCAAGGGAAAAAACTGATGTTTTGAAGTTTAAAAGAACAGTACTTCTAAAAACAGGAATAGGAAGATCACAGGGAAGAAATAGTTTAGTGAGAAGACTATAGGTTAGATTTTAAATATTCTGAAATTTGAGATAACAATTAGTATCAGTGACTGTCTTGGTTACTTTTTTCTCACTGCTGGGACAAAATACCTGACGCCCAAAATTAAGGAGGGAAAGGTTTATTTCACTTACAGTGTGGAGGTTTCAGTCCGTACTTGGCAGATTATAAGGCAGAGTGGCACATGGCAAAGAGCTACAGCTCAGGGCAGCAGAACACAACAAAGCAACAACCACACACCAGGGCGGAATGGGGGAGGAATGGCCTCAAGCACCCTTTTCCTCTCCCTTACATATGCAAACTATCCACCCCAGGGCGGGTGTAGCTTTCAAATCCATATTCAAACTCTAAAAGCCTGCCCCATGTCCACATGAGGTTTTGGGGGGACACACAGACATAAACCGTAACAGTGACTTAGAAATTCAGGACAGTTCCTTCTAATTAGCCAGGAGAAGAATCCAAACAGAAGAAATACTTCTGGATAATACCACAAAAAGGGAAATATTATATTTAATTATTTGGAGCTATTGAAATGGTACTTAGTAGTTCATATGGAATTAACAGGCCTCTTTGTATTTCCTAAAGATTTTCATAGCTAACAAATAGAAATCTTTGTGATGTCATCACATTCTATGGATTCTAAATAATACATATCAAAAAACCTGTTACAATGGAGTGGTAAGTTTAGCTCCTTCTTCTTGCCTTCTGTGCAGTTTATTTTTTAGACACTGGTAGTAAAATTGAGCAAGTCTGAGGTCATCATATATTTTGCAACTACAGTTTCACTTAAGTACTAAAGAAGAATAACTATTTCCTGGAAATCCTGGTACCATAAATGCAGATGTAGTTGCTTGGTGCTGCTTAATAAACTGCTACTAAATTGAAAATGCACTGAGGTAAGTTACCGACTTCATACAATTTGTAATTCTTCTTTAAACTGTTCACAAAGTAAGAATAAACTATCAGTAAGAACTTCAAGAAACCTGAATGAGGGTCCAAAACATGGAATAACATGTTCTACTAAAATACTTCAATTTCAAGACTTTTCTTCCTTATAAAAACACAAAAAATGATAGATGAGTCAATTAAAACAAAAACTAGACACTTTCTGAATCTTTTGATTAAAAATGTAACAAAATATTCATTAAATTCTTATTGTGCTTAAATATGTGAATTATGGGCAGATGGGAGGAAGTAACATATTATACTTCCCCAAAACACATTTACTTTTATAGCATCCTCAAATTCTTCTCTTCTCCAAATGATTACATTTTGGTAGAATATTTGTAGAAACTTTCCCAAGTACTGAGTTCAGAAACAAGGTACTCTATTTTAAGGAGAGTTCTTCACCTGTTGTCTACAACAATCATTGGACACCTCCCCCTCAAGAAGAACAGGAATATCATTCCCACATTGACCCTGAAATTCCTGATTACCTGCCCTGGTTTCATCATACTTTCAAACTGTCACACGTTCTTGAAAACAAAATCATTTTAACTGCCTTTAATACATGTCAATAATAACTCTATCTGTACAGAAATGCATATTCCATTTAATACTTTAAAAATGACAACAGGAAGAAAAGCTTTTTACTCAGCACCTGTCCAAGTGACATTACCTGAAAATGAATACATATCACATTAAATTTCTCCAATTGATATCCCTTTCTCCCATATTTAATGTTAAAGCTTTTGTGCGGGCCCAGTTCCTCCTATCCAGACTGCCATAAGATCCTCCTTAGTCTCCTGGCTTCAATCTCTTATTTTCCAATACTACTCCAAAGTAACCTCCGAGAAAGCCTCCCTTCTTGACAAAACTTTAGTCAAGTTCCTCTGACCCTTCTTTTCAGCTAGGCCTCAACTTTTGTAGGATTTTTGTTTGTTTTTTGGGTTTTTTGAGGCAGGGTCTCTCTAAGTAGTGCAGGCTAGCCTTGAACTCACTATATAGCCTAGGCTGGCCTCAAACTCATGAAATCCTCCTACCTTAGCCTCCCAAGTGCTAGGATTACAGGCATGCAACATCATGCCTGGCTGTCTTCATTTTTGTAGAATCCAATTTTAGCAAGAATTTGGCTAACTCAGTTCAGTGGCAATGCCTCAGGTTCAATCACCCTCTATATCTGGTCAAGTTCCTTAACTGTCACCATCATCCTACAGTATCTGAAGACATTTTCCTGCCTTCAGTAACAATCCTGTTAGGGCAGATTAGCAAAAATTACTCTAACCAGGTCAGGGATATAGCTCAGTGGCCCAGTGTCTGCCTGGCAAGCATGAGGTCCTGAGTTCGATTCCTGGTACCAAAAACAATTACTCTAACCCCTGAGTAATTTTCCATCTACTAACCCCCACTACCATCTTGCTCCTGAACTATAAATCCCCCTTCTTCATGCTGTATTTGAAACTGAGCTCATTTCTATACCTTTTATTTCTACACTGAAATTAAGGCATCTTTTCCCTATTGCAACAGTCCCTTAAAAAAATTCCCTCTTTATAAGTTAATTATCTTAAGTATTTTGTCATAGTAATAGAAAACCTACACATTATTTTTCTATTTATTTCTTTTGCATTAAATATTCTAATATAAATACTGAGTATCATACAAGTGCTTTGCAATAGTCTTAAGTGTTCACTATTTCCACTGCTGTAACTAATGTCAGCTGTGATTTTCTTTGGCACATTCTCCTTCTAAAATGCAAATATGATATTCTTTGAACTTTTTTATACCTCTTCATTGCCTTCAGGTAAAGGTCACACAGCATAATACGGTATCATATATTTTTCTGAATACTGATCTGTTAGTTTCATGCAGTCTCTACTCCAGCCACAAATATGCAGTTTTCACAGTATTTTCTCTCTGAAATGCCCTTCTTGTTCAATACTCATCCCACTTCTAAGACTCAGCTCAAAAATTACCTGCTATAACATCCTGAGGCATTCTACACGTA